GGAGGCTCCTCCAGGTGGTTTCCCTTGGCGGCTTTGGTAGGGTTTAGGGTTGTTTTTAGGGCGGCGGTGGGCCTTGTAGTGAGCCGCCAATACAGGAGCTTGCATTCTGGACATGCAGGAAGATCATCTCACCAGCCTCGAGGTGATCTTCCTTTTTAGCTCCCTTAGCCTCGGTCATCCGCTTGAGGGCCTTGCAGTACGCCTTCAAGCTTGGTTGGGCCGAACCTGTCTGCGGGCAGGTGTCACATTTGCAGGAGTTACTGCGGGCTCTTGCGTCCCTGTGCTTGGCGTCGAGCTGAGCCAAGTACTTGGGATTTTCCTTAGTCCACTCCTTTTCAGGGTGGCATGGCAAGTGCGGCTAAGCGCTTGCTTCTTTATTGGCAGCAGGTTCCCAGGCCTGTCCAGACCGTGGGTCCTGCCTGAGCTGCAGCCCGAGCAAGGGTGATGGGTCAGCTGGTGCGGCGTCGTCCCCGCGCTTGTTGAGGGGAGCGTCGACTCCTGCGCGTTTGTGCATAGTAAGGGGTGCGTTTGCCCTCGCGCTCATTGAGAGGGTTTAGTGCCGGCTGACTTTTTCGCTTTGGTTTTGGTTTCAGCTGCCGAGGGTGGACGGTTGGCTAAGGCCGCCTTGTGAGCGTGAACAGGCCCGCGCCGGGGGCCAGTACCCAACCGCAGTGCAGAAGGCAGTGCGCGCTCACTGTCTCTGCATAGACCCTCTCAGTTTTGGCCTGGCCGTGTTTGGGCCTCGCCTTTCAGTGCAAACACCGCATGCACAGCTCTGTTAGTTTGGCGCGGATCGTGCAGAGCCTCGCGGCGGATCCCTCCGAGTTGAGGTTTCTCTCGGCAGACAGGGGGCCTGTGGTCACTCTGCTGCTCGAGCCTTTTAGCCAAGGCAGTTTGCTTCCACTGCCCGTTACTGGGGTGGAGTTGGTTGGCAGAGGTAGCCGAGTGCCCAGAGCTGCTGCGGCATGGGTGCTCTGGCCCTTGTTAGTAAGAGCGAGAACGCAAGGGCCACCTCAGTTGCCGCCCAGCGTCCAACCCAAGCTCGTGAGTCTTAGGTTCTCTGCTCCAAGCCTTGGGGGGTTCTCCTCCCTACCGAGCAGCGGGGCACGGCCAGCTCACCTAAAGCTCTCCACAACTAGGGGGTCTGGCCCACCCTGGAGAAAGCGGCCCTTGCTGGTCTTGGTTCTTCCTGGGAGGGACTGGCTTCCTAGAACCTCCCTTATGGTGGGAGGGAAAGGGCCTACAGGCTGAGTGAGCTGCTTCTTCAACCTCACTGGCAGGGACCGGGAGGTAGGACCTGTGTTAGGACCTGAAGTAGTTCCCTCCGCGTACCTCACCAGCATGAACTGGGAGGTCGGGGGTCTTAGAGAGTAGGACCTAGCCTGAGCGCTCCTTAACACAAGGAAGCTGCTTCTTTGGCTGTCAGAGTACAGCTTTCAGACTTGCCCTCACGGGCCGCGACTCTGTGCGCAAGACCGAGAAAATCCCATTTGGCAGCTTCCGAATTTTTGGAGCAAGTCGGGCCGGGCCAAGAATGGCGCAGAGTCATCAATGATGAAGTCGATCGCCTTGTTGGGGCGAGGGCAAACACAAAAGAGGCGAAAGACCGAGCAACTGCCCTCAAGCAATCTGATGCGCTGGCAGAGTCGGTTGCACTTTTCCTGGGAAGGCGCATGCAAGCATTGATGGGGTATGACAAAGATCAAGGCCCACAGGTTGTGTACCCCAGGAAGGCGGGCGAGGAAAAATCGGCAGAGTCGTCCAGCCCCTCGACCAGCCGGTCTTCGTTTCAAAAGAGAAGACGAACCAAGAAAGGCAAAACCCCACCGGCCCACGGGGGGGAGAAAGGCAAGAAGGCCCAGCCCGCCGAGGAAACACCCATACCCACTGGGGCTCCAGAGCAATCCGGCGGAGAAGCTGACGAGGCAGGCCAGCTCTCTTCCCATGGGCCGCCGAAGGCCATTTCAAGGCCAGAGGGGGGGGCCAACGAACCCCAACCCGCAACAAGGGAAAAGATGCCAAAGATGGCAACGGAGAGCAGATGCGGGGAAGCAGGGGCCGCGGACCTTCCTACCACCCAGTTGCCGCCTGAGGCCAATAAGAGGCAAATCTTGTCGGCTTTGGTGGCAGGCCAAATCGACACTAAGGGGCACAGGTTCGTCAAGGGTGGCACGTCTGCAAACAACCTGCAGATCAAGTGCGAGGAATGTGGCTTGTGGATTCAACAGGTCGATACCAAGCCCAATTTCAATAGGAAAGTTGCCAACTATTGCAAGGACCACCCCCTAAGTGTCCCTTCTCCGGAGTGGAAGTGGCATGATTCGCATGCCATGTGCAATGAAGGTTGCAGGTGGAAGTGCTCTCAGTGTCATAGTGTGCAGCCAGTTGGAGGCCTCACACCTGCAGTTCTTGAACGCTTTTGTGCACATGGTAAGCATGGTTTGCAGCGTAAGCGTGCGGCACGTAACACACTTGCAGCTGCTGGTACTCCTTCTGTGAAGCAGTTTTTCGCAAAGCCTCTTCCCTAGCGCGGCCACAGGTCCAAGATGGGAGCCCCAGGCAAAGGTAAAAGGGATCCGCCGCCCGATGGCCATGTCCGGCGGCCGTCCAAGAAAGACCGGGACAGGCTCAAGGCCTTAGGCCTCTGGAACCCTGGCGGCAAGGCCAAAGGCAAGGGTGAGCCCGCCAAAGGCCAGGGCAAAGCCAGAGAGCCTGACCCACCGCGCTATCGGGGGGACTGGGGCCGTGAGCACGACCCACCGCAACACCGGGGGTACAGGGACAGGGAGCCCGACCCACCGCATTACCGGGGGCACAGGGACAGAGAGCCCGACCCACCGCACCGACGGGGGGACAGAGACCGAGAGCCCGACCCACCGCGCTACCGGGGGGAGCGACACCGAGAGCCGGAACCACCGCGCCAACGGGGGGAGGGCAAAGGCCAGGGCAGCGAGAGCGAGCCTGCCCCGCCGCAAAACCGGGGGGAAGGCCGCGGTGACCATAGGGAGCCACACCTGTCACCCCAGTCCTCGCCTAACAAAGGGAGTGAAAGCGGCACAGAGCGGAGCCGCACGCCCCCGGCTAGGCAGGAACCTGCCCGAGAATCCGAGGCGAAACCAGCCGATGCCGAGGCTGAGTTGACAGACGAAGCCACAAGCCCGGCGGAGGCAGTGAAAGAGGAGTCCTCGGATTCCAAAGAATCGTCCCCAAAAGGGGCCGCGGCCTCTTCGGTGGCAAAGGAGGGGGGCTCGACCCACCCGGGTCAAGAGCAGAGCCAGCCCTCGGCCACACAAGGGGGCCCGACCCACCCTGGCGAGGCCCCAAGTGAACCAGCAGGCCAAAAGGGGAGTCCGACTCACCCAAAAAGTGAGGAGGGCCCTTCTAGGCCAACATGGCCGGTGGAAGTGGGGGACACACCCCTGATCCTCTTCACGCCACATGTGAAGAGGTCTCACAACACTATCCACTGGCTTGCTCAGGTTGGGGACTCGCTAGCCCTACGGGGTTTCAGCGACTGCTATGCCCTCCTTGGAATAGGGGGCAGCCGGGCAACCTTCGAATGCCCAGGAAATCCCGCCTTGTGCTGGAAACTTACTTCCAGCGAGCAGGAGCCAAACCGCCGATCTGGCCATGGGCCAGAGAGTCGCCTAGGGCAAGTCATCCCCGGGATATGCGCAAGCAAGACCCGGGAGGTGGGCCCTGGAATCCTCCAGATTGGTACATGGGGCAAGGTGCCTGTGACCATTTTGGAGGTGGAACGGCTAAGCCCAATGTACCCAGAACCATCCAGTGCAAGGGTTTTGCACATGGCGATGGTTATTCTGGGGGTCAGTTGTGCGGGCATGCTGTGCCGCGATTTAAATCGTGGCAACTGGGGCATCCGAAAGATGTCGCCAAATTCCTGCGTGGAGGAGATCGTTGTCATCGACGCTGCAGATTGGGAGCCGCAATCTGCACCACCAGGCTTTCCTCCAAGGAGGAAGCTTGAAAGTTGGTGGAACTGGATCCACCACAGTGCTCCCGCCACGGCGGACTGGTTGAGGGTGCAAGTGGAATCCCTTCACCGAGACCACCGGGCATTGGCTCGCACCTTGGTGGAGGAACTCAGCAGGAGCGATGCTGGGCAGTGGGTGGTGGCTTCACTCCATGCTCAGCGCATCCTCTGCTTTTCCCCCAGGGATGAGATCTGTTTGCTCAGGTCGCGAGCCAATGTCTTCACCAGCGGAGACTGGGATCTCCTCAGCCTCAAAGACCCACCTCAAGAAGGGGGCTGAGGGAGGTGGTCAAAGCCAGCAGAGCCCGCCTAGGCAGGGGGCACAAGGAGGTGAACAGCTGAGGCCATGGCCGGCTTCCTTTCCTCACCGGCACCGGGAGGCACAGGGCCAATCCTGAGGCTGCTTCAACCTCGCCAGCAAAAGCCTGGGAGGAGGGCTAGACTAGGTCCGAAGTAGCTCCTCCGGCAACCTCCCAACGGAGATTGGGAGGAACGGGGGATAGGAGTAGGCCTAGCGGAGGACGCCTTAAACAAGGCTGCCCTCCTCCTTTTGCTGTCAGAGTACAGCCCAGACCGAACTTGCCGCTACGGCGGCCGCGACTCAGAGCGCAAGACCGAGAAAATCCCATTTGGCTCAAGTTGTGGTTCAAACTGGCGAGTGGACGCTTTGTTGCCGTCGTGGCGCTGGGCTTCTGAGGCCGTATCTAAGGGTGGGCCCAAAGAGACCTCAAACCGAATCTCTGTGTTTTCTCGTAGGCGGGCTGTCCCGCACGGGCGCGCAGGGGTAGCGGCAGTCCCAGCTCCGGCTGAAGTGCAGTAGCGTAGTGCCATAGTTCCTTGAACCACTGCTTGAAACCGCTTGCGAACTCTTCTTGCACCTTGTGAACCAATCCTTGTTTTCTTGTGCAGAATCTCTTGGATTTTGGGCCTTGCAAAATTGCCCGTTTACTTGTTGCAAAAGTACAGTTGAGGAGTTTTTCTTGCAGGCGGACTAAAGACAGCCAGCATGACCGGAAACCGTGCATACACGGTCTGCGCCAAATGTGGTGCCTGGGTTTGGAGTGACCGTATCGGAGCTGATAAACTGGAGTGCTGCAAGGCGTGCGGCCAACGCTGGCCAGGTGTGAAGCGAGGTCCTGCAGCGCGTGTCTGGAAGGATCGTGCAGTTGAGGCAGCCAGGCCTCAAAGATCACAGCCTCGCAGCCCTGGTCCCAAGATTCATAAGGCATTGCTTTCACTGTGGGATAAGTTTTCCCCGGAGGTGCAGCAAGGGCTTGTGGCAGCAGGCTGGAAGCCGAAGGAAGAGTCCAAGCCTGAGCCTCCCCCAGGGCTTCCCTTCACGGGTTTCTTGGGCAGCATGGGCAAGGGCAAAGGCAAAGGCAAGCATCCTGAAATGAAGGACAGTGGGGCTGCTACGCAAGCCCTGTGGGCCTCTGCTTCTCCCGAGCAGAAGTCCCTCTTGCAACAGCTTGGCTTCCAGGACCCCAATCATGCTGAGCCTGCCGATCTCAAGTCACTTGTGAAGGCGCACATGGATCAGCTGCCAGATTCGTTGAAGAAGGCCATTGAAAGTTTGGAGCCCCGTGCACCAGAACCCACGGCCACAGAGCTGATGCTCTCGGCAACTAAGAAGTTTAAGTCTAGTTCCAGTGAGCTGCGCCAGCTCATCCAGAAATCAGCCGGACTTCAAATCAAGATTGACCGGGCAAAAGCTGTGTACGCTGACCTTCTTGATCAGATGAAAAATGTCCAAACTGAGCTGTCTGATAAGCAATCTGAGGTGACGCAGCTTCAAAAGGATCTTGAGGCCAAGGTGCAATCAGGTGCTGAATCTCCGTCCGTGCCCGACAAAGCGACTGTGCTTTTGGCCTTGACTCAGTGTGGTATCACCCTTAGCAGTGAGCAGCAGGCTCTCTTAGAGGGCAGCATGGACATTGATACAGAGCAGGCCCCGGCAGAAGCCACCCGGCTGAGCATTAGTGTTGAAGGGCCGCCAGCATCAAATTCCCAGCCGCAGGGGATCCAGCAGCCTGTCCAGGATGGGACACGTGAGAAGCCGCGTTCGCGCAGTAGGGGTCGGACTCAGGGATAGGGGTCTGGGATTAGGGTTGGTGGTTACCTTGATCAAGATCGGGGTGTTTTGATTGAAGGCCGAAGCCGTGCAAAACATGTACACTTTCATGATTCGGGGCTGCTGCCGGCCCTAAAATCCCGACCTTTCCCACCTTTAGGGCCACACTCCAGTGCGGATGAACCCGGTCCTGGACCAGGCCTTGGAGATTTCTGCAATCTGTTTTTGAGCCGGCAGTGCAGTGTAGCTTCCGATTCGGACGAGTCCGTTGGGGGCGAGTCTGTGCACATCTTATCCTGTGTGTGTTGTGCAGCGCCGCTGGCTTTCTCACGAACTGTGAGTTCTGTCGCTGGGGACTGCATGTCTGAAGTTTGCCACATGTGTTCGAAGGCTGCGTCGGCTTCAAGCTGTGCTGGCCGGCAACACGCCGAACCCTCAAGCTTGCAAGGGTTCATTTTAGGGTGTGGGGTTGCAGGGGATGGGTTTTCCGAGGCTGATTCAGGTTCTTTGAGTCCTCTTGTGCAGTGCTCAGTCTGTGCCGCGCCGATACCTGCCATCCCTTCCTGCCCAAGCTCCTTGAGGTCACCCATTTGCAAGCAGTGTTTTTACCCCTTCAGGCCCAGCGCCCCATCCTCGCAGGTGCTGTTATTGGATCCTTACGTGCGTTCAGGCCAACCTGTGGACAGGATCTTTAAGGCGCCCTGTGCGAAGGTCACCACACAATCAGCATTGAGTCACAGTCTCATGGGGTTTCCACCTTTGGGGCTCGCTGGGCTGCGTGATTTCAGAATGGAAGGTGGCCAGGTGCCATTTCAGGTCCCTAGCCCGTGTGCTTGCCCTGATTTGCAGGGCCCTAGCCCCAATTTGCAACTGTGGGGATTTCTTGGAGGATACCCTCGGATGTCGGGTGAGTTGCCTATTGAGTCGGCTTGTCCCCATAGGTTTGATCCTGCAGCCAACTTGATAGGAGGCAACGGCAGTGGCGGATCGCTTTCAATTGCTTGCCCTAACCCGTGTGCTGACTCAGACCCTCGGGACCCTAACCCCAATTTGCAGAGTGGGCTTGATATGCATGCCGTTTCCTCTGGCCTCTCTAGTTGGGCGGCCTTTTCCGAGAGGCCGGGCTTCTGTGTCGCGTGTGGTCAACATCAGGTCATTAGGGGCCAGTGCAGATCGGGAGGTCCGGGATTTCTTGATTGCAGGACACCATGCTCAGTGCAGTGAGCCCTCTGATGCCATTCTTACAGCTCTGAGTGACGTGATGCGTTACTGTCCAGGATGCCTGTGTAAATGGGCTAATTGCCGGAGCCGTGCCAGTAGGCCTGCTGAATCCCAATATGCAGGGGTTTCGGAAGCCTCTATCACAGGACCTTCCTTTTTCTCGGCTGAGACCTTTGCTGATCTTGCCTCAGATGAGCAAATCAACCTTGCTAGTGTGAGTTTGGGATCAGGGGTTTCAGGGGTAGAGGCCAGGGCTTCATCACACACCGATCGGTGTCGACTGTTGTCATCGGTCTCTCGGCGCACGAGGCGCCGTCGCAATCGGTGGATCCGACTCGCATCTCAAGGTGTGCTGCGCTCTCTTGATCATGCATGCACATCTTCCGACGGCGAGGGGGAAATTGCGAATTTTCCTTCAGGGCTCTTAGCCAAGAAAAATGGGCCCAGGTCTATACTCCCTTGTGAGGAGCCCCAAGGACCTGGGCCCATTTTTTCGGTTTCAGGCCCAAAACGAGCATCTGAGATCCCAACAGGAAAGTTAGCAGGGGAAATTTCGGGTTTAGCCGCTCCGGTTGCGGACAGCCAGGAAACATTGCCTTGTGAGACATCAGATGGTGAGTGCGTCCCTGACATTACTTCTGCGAGTGCTAGGCCTGCTCCTTCAATCCCTTCCGGTGCAACTGGACCAATAGAGCCCCTGCTCCATGAGCGGGGAGCCCCCAGGACCCAGGAGGTGGAGGTCATGACCAGGAGTAGGAGTCTTTTCCAGGAGGAGGTGGGCCGAGGGCCACAGGGTCCTGGGGGACCGGATGGGAGCGATGCCACTGCAGGTCACGGTTCGCTGCCGGAAGTGCGCCCTGTTGGCGGCACTCGGGGTGGCAATCCAAACTCAACCGGACTCGATGCTTTCCAACCTGTGTCAAACCGTGGCTCCGTTTTGGGAACGCTTTGCGTTCACACAGGAGATCTAGACCCAGAGGCTTTAGCAGGGATCGAGCTTTGGTCACATGAGGGCAGTGCTGGGACAAATCTGAGTGCCGTAAGCTCAGCGACCTTAAGCAGTGCACCATCAGTTTTGGGCACTTGGCCCGATGTGCGCCCTGTTGGCAGCACTCGGAAAGAGCCTGGTGAGTCAGGTCAACCTGTTGACTGGTGTCTTGCGTTGCATCTCCTCGAGAAGGCCGAGACCCAAGGCTACAAGTGTGTTGAAAGTGAGATTATAAAACTTGCTGAAGACATCCAAACCCACTTCAAAGAGCCCTCTTTGGAGTGGTGGGCAGGCTACGCCATGATGCAGTGTCTTGTTGATGAGTCCAACCCAGCATGGACCCAGGCAGCCATCAAACAATTGATCCCTGCCAGGGCCGGTCCGCGACCTCATCCGGTCACCCTTCTCAGCCTGAACATCACTACTTGGGGTCCGAAGTTTAAGGACTGGCTTGGGGGTAGAGGCTGCCCCTTTGACCTTTTGTGTGTCCAGGAAACACATCTTCGCAAAGATGTGCCCGCTGCTGCGGCCTGGCTAAATCCACGTGGCCTTGTTGGTCATTTTGGGCCAGGGCATAAAGGTGACACACCAGGGATCCGAGGAGGCCTTGTCACCATTGCGCCGGCGCACCGAAATGTCAGGCAAGCCCTTGACTATCAAAAGGAAGGCTGTGGTTTCTTGGTTGATTTCCTTAGGTTTAAAGATTGGACTTTGGCGGTGCTTAATCTTTACCTTAAATCGGGTTCTTCCCTTCAGACCGAACCGAATTGTTCAATTGTTGCAAATCTCCTGGCCTGTGTGAGAGACCTTGCTGTGCCGTGGATTGTGATGGGTGACTTCAACACTCCAATCACGGACCTTCAGGCAACCAACATTCCTACTGAGGCCAAGGGGTTGCTGCTCTCGCCAGGGGGCCCAACCACTGATGACGGTGCATGCCTTGATTATTCCCTCATCTGTCATCGTCTATCTGGCTGCATCGGTTGTACCATTGCCTGGGATGCACCTTTCAGGCCACATGGGCTACTCAAGTTCACTTTGGAGGCCGACTGTTCCTTGATTGTGCCGCAGCTCCCGAGCTATCGACAAATCACTTCAGCGCCTTGCCATTCTTTCGTTGAAGGTCCTCAGCTTGATTGCATCCGGTGGGAAGGGTGTGCCAACCCTTCGTCAATCACGCTTTCCTTTGCTTCGTGGTCTCAGGCTGCTGCAGCTACCTGTGGAGTGACCCAGAAAGCGCCTGGCACATACTTTGCAATCATCCACCAAGCATTGAGCCCTCCCTCGCACCCGGATCGGGTGTGGCATGGGAAGTCAGCGTCCTTCTGGGATAGAGTTGCAGTTTGGGCCAAAAAACAGCCGAGCTATGCTTGTGGCATTCCAGAGTCTGTTATCAATTTGTTGAACGAATCTGAGGTTCACTGGGCCGTGCAGGCCCGAACAACTTGGGAGCAATGGAAAGATGAAACTTTGCAGATTTTGAGTGGTGCTATGCCAAGTCGGGAGTGGCAAAAAGTCACAGTAGCCCAACAAAAACTTGCCCGTGAAGCCCACGTTGCCACCAAAAGTGCTCACTATCTTGATTGGCTTCAATCTTCCTTGACTAAAGGAATGCGACCCTTGTTTCGAGCCCTTAGTAACCCAGATGCCCAAGTTGATAGGCCGTTTCGGGATGCAGGACTTGAGTTGAAGCCCTTCCTTAGGTTGGATTTCTGGGTTGAACTTTGGAAAGCCCAGCCCACGCCCTTGCCTGACTTGTCGCCCGAGCTCCATGAGCGTGCTCGGCAACATGCCAAATTCTTGCAGCCCGCCACCCTTGACTTAATACGTTCCCAGCTGCGCAAATTGGCAAACAAAGCGGGTGGTGCTGATGGTTGGAGCTATGCACAGCTCAAGCTGCTTCCTGATGAAGCGTTGGCGGCCCTGCTCTCCATCTTTCGCAGAGTTGAGTGCGAAGGAGTGTTGCCAGAGCACTGGCTCACGACCTTAATCACCATGTTGCCAAAAAATTCCCGGGTTGAACGACCTATAGCACTGTGCAATGCGACATACCGCCTCTGGGCCAAGTTGCGCTATCCTGAAGTTGAGTCCTGGGTGCTGTCGTTTCAGCAACAGGCCCCATGGGAACAAGCGGTTCCAGGCCAGTCAACGCTTGATGTGAGCATCACCCGTCTCCTTCAGGCTGAAATCTCGCGTGTCCGCAAGCGTTGTCGCATAGTGCTGTTTGTTGACTTGCAGACTTTTTACGAATCGGTGTCACATGAAGGAGTTGCACACCAAGCCATTTTACACAACTTTCCGGCGGTCTGCGTTGACACCGCCTTAAAAGTTTATAGGGGCGCTAGATACATTGTTTCTGAATCAGCTGTATCACCAGTGTGCTATGGTGCCTCTGGCTTGATGGCCGGGTGCCCTTTCGCTCCGGCACTAGCCAAGCTGGCCCTTTTCCCGAGTCTTTCGACCCTTCATGCTTCCAAGCTCAACGACAACATCACAGCATGGCTAGACGACATCAGTGTCGACACCGAAGGTGCCAATGCAGAGCAAACGGCGGTCAGGGCCCAGAAATCTTTTCAGCTTTTGAAAACCTCCTTGGAGCGGGATGGGTTAAAAATGTCGCTGAGTAAAACTTGTTTTGTTTGTACTGACTCCCGGTCAGAAAAAGCCCTTAAACGCTTGCTAGGCCCAAATGACCCTCCCATATCCTCGTTGGCCCGGGATCTTGGCACTGACTACTCCGGCGCCCGCAGACGCAGGATCACCATTGCCAAGCAAAGGGAGGCCAAAGGCAAGACCAGGTCAGGCCGTCTTC